AGCTGACTGTGTTCAGCAGGTCAGCGGTTCAAATCTCACCGGCTCAAGGTTGACTCAGCCTTCCATCCTTCTGAGGTAGGTAAAATGAGGACCCAGGTTGTTGGGGGCAATGTAAAATATATATACATTGCTTACTGGTGTACACCGCTTAGAGAGTGCTTGCACTTAAAGCGGTATATAAGTCTCATAAATAAAAAATTATTTTTAATAAGCAGGCAATGTGTCAATTGGTGATGTCCTTGCAATAGGAGCTGATATTAACAAATGCAGAGTAATCAGTTGTTAATCATGTCCCTTGCTCAGATACAAGGTAAAGGTTGTACAAAGCACAACAAATTTGAATGGCACAAAACACACTTCTTCTGGGTCATGTAGAGTGAACTGTAAGAGCACCAAAATTTAGGGCAAAGTAAGTTCTTTCTGTCTCCAGCATCGTACAATGGTAGAGCTTCCTGGCTGTCTAGATTTGATATTAATCTCAATATAATAAATTGTATAAAAAAACCCCACTCTGTTCTAGTTCAGAATAAACCTTAATACTCCATACCTGGAGTGTATATTCATTGATGAGATTAGTTTGGAAAGTATAATTGAATGATTTAGGAGCATTTTGAGTCATGTTTAAAAAAACAAAGAAAGAGCATCTTAATCCTATTTTAAAACAAAAAGTGGGAGGAGACTTTTCAAACATCAAGTTTAAATATCAATTTTAAATGTCAAATGTAAACAGAGATACACCAAAAAGAGGTTGAAGGCATTGAATTTCTTTATCTATGATAATGCTGAATATAATTAACTATAGAATAAATTTAAATTTCTCAATCTGATATTCTTAAAATATATGGATTATATCTTCCAGAATCCTCTGATATAGGCAGTCCTTCTTATCATATTGTCTCAGGATAATGGAAATAGTGATCCAACATTACTGGAGCACAGCACTTTGGGGAAGGCTGATGCAGTATTCTGTCCTAAAGATATTTCAAATATTTTTCAAGAAATTACAATTGTTCCATGTTGGTCTATTCATGAGTACAGAAGAGAAAAAGGAGAATAGTTTATCTAAGTGAACCAACCTAATATATTTGAATTTTTAATTTCAATTAATATGCATTTAAATCCTTAATATATTACTTATTCACTGATACCTCTTCTGATTATAGAGATGATCAGAGTTAATTATGTCTGCTTCTCCACTTACCTGTAACATCAATAACAAAAACAATAAGACACTTTGATTAAGTTTTGTGTAGCACCATTTTGACTTTGTCTCATTTATAGTCTAAATAGTATTGGATCGACGTGATGTGCCGGTGCCTAGAAGATGTGAGGGTCTGGATGGGGGTGAACAGGCTTAGACTCAACCCTGACAAGACCGAGTGGCTCTGGGTCTTGCCTCCCAAAGGCCAACTGGATGGTCCATCATTAGTCCTGGGGGGGGGGCAAATTTACCTCCCTCAGTGCAGGCATGCAACTTGGGTGTCCTCCTGGACTCACAGCTAAATTTGGAACAACATCTATTGGCTGTGGCCAGGGGGACCTTTGCACAGGTTCGCCTACTGCACCAGTTGCGGCCTTATTTGGACCGGGAAGCTTTACTCACAGTCACTCATGCCCTTGTCACCTCAAGACTGGATTACTGTAACGCGCTCTACATGGGGCTACCCTTGAAGGGCGTTCGGAGGCTGCAGTTGGTTCAGAACGCAGCCGCGAGAGCAATTGTGGGTGTGCCAAGGTACGCCCACGTGTCACCTATCCTCCACGAGCTACACTGGCTTCCTGTGGGTCTCCGGACGCAATTCAAGGTGTTGGTTATCACCTTTAAAGCCCTTCATGGCATAGGGCCAGGTTACTTACAGGACCGCATTCTGCCGCACAGTTCCCAGAGACCGGTGAGGTCTCATAGATTGGGCCTCCTTCAGGTCCCGTCGGCCAGACAATGTCGGCTGGCGGGACCTCGGGGAAGGGCCTTTTCTGTGGTGGCTCCGACCTAGTGGAATCAACTTCCCCCCGAGGTTCGAACTACTCCCACCCTGCCGGCCTTTAAGAAAGCCATTAAAACTCTCCTGTTCCGGCAGGCCTGGGGCTGATGTCCCCGGGGGAGGGGCTGGGATATGATCGGACTCGCGGTATGACTGTATTATTTTATTGTTTTATGATTGTTTTAACTCTGTACACCGCCCTGAGTCCTTTGGGATTGGGCAGCATATAAATAAAATTAAATACAAAATACAAATACAAAATCTGTCTGGGACTTACTTGGGAAACCTTTAAGAATGTAAGTTACACCTCTTTTCTCTGCCTTGGCAATCTTATAGTGTGTGGACTGCCTGAGAAATCCTAAGGACTGAAGTCCACACGTATTAAAAGTTGTCAGTTAAGAAACACTGGGCTAGATCATGAAGTCTCTCTTTTTTTACACGTTTCACACTCACAACACATGGAGTGGGATTTAATCACAGATTTGCAGCTGCCATGGCTTTGTTTTTTATTCTGCCCCACATCTAAAGATGCTATGGGTGCACATCTTCTACAATCCATAGGCAACATGGCGAGAGTTAAAAGGACTTTCTGAGAATTGCAATCTCCACACATTTGAGTAGAAACAGGGTGTGGAAGGCTGACATAATGCCACAACAGGGAGAAAGATGTAGACATCCCACTTCAACTTTTATTATAATATAAATAAGGATTTATTATAATGTAAATCACAAAGCAATTTTATCTTGACAGATATTATATATTGTTGAAAAAAATCTTGATGAATTTAGCAATGCATTTGCTTTTTCTTTGCAACTGCTGTGCAAGTTGGACTTTAGCCCAGAAAAAAAGATAGCAGCCTGTTTGGTTTACCAGGAATAGCTTAAATCTCTCTCTTCCCCCACATCTTTTAAGAGATCACAAATGATAAAATACAAGTAGAAAGGATACACAGTGCCTGACCTCTGTCCTCCCACTAAGTGGGAGCACAGAGACCCTTTAGATACAAACGTGGTTTCTTTAAAAAAAATGAACAGATTAAAGAAAACATTCAAAGGGAATACAATAGGTATAAAGGAAATATAAAAAATAAAAAATAAAACAAATAAATGGATAACAAAGGATCTAAAATATCATATGGGCTACTAATATCCAGAGTATATTCAAACCTAGGATGCCTTTCTGCATACAGAAGAGATCCAGAATGTTATGAATATATTACTTAATATATTAAGTATTGTGAAGTAAAAATGAAGCTAAAACTGACAGTAATTCCCTGTATACAACTTCTTACACAACCCAAAGCACAGGAATGCTGTAACACAGGTAGTCCTTGACTTATGACCACAATTGAGTCCAACATTTCTGTTGCTAAGCAAGGCAGTTGTTAAATGAGTTTTGCCCCATTTTAAAATCTTTCTCCCACAGTTGTTAAGTGAATCACTGCAGTTGTTAAGTTAGTAACATGATTGTTAAGTGAATCTGGCTTCCCCATTTACTTTGCTTGTCAGAAGATTGCAAATCTGATCACATGATCCCAGGACACTACACGTTCATAAGTGAATTTTAATCACATGACCATGGAGCTGCTACAATGGTTATTAAGTGTGAAAAACAGTCATAAGTCACTTTTTTCAATGCTGTTGTAACTTTGAAGTCACTAAATGAATGGTTGTAATTCAAGGACCACCTGTACTACTTAAGACAGCACAAAATCAACTATTTAAAAGAATTTTGCACCAGTGTTAGCTGATTGTTTTGGCTTGCTAGTTCTCTCTCTCTCTCTCTCTCTCTCTCTCTCTCTCTGTGTGTGTGTGTGTGTGTGTGTGTGTGTGTGTGTGATTTCTTATCTATGTTATGGCATAGCAAGAGACTAAGACTACTTGAATATATTAAATCTTTGCTTTTTGCTTGCAGTTCTGCAGAGAAGCTTAACAGTACTCAAAAATTTAGAAGTCTAGAAATTAATTAAAGGTTATTATGGTGGAAAACTCTGCATCTTTTAAGGTGTCAATGCATTGACAGAGTTAAAGGACCATGCTATAAAATGTGTCAGTTGGTGCAATTATTGCTACTTCAAATTGACTTTACAACAGCAATAGGTCCCCCTAGTGGATAAAAATTAAAATAGATGTCCTACATCTAAATTTATCCTCACCACTCCACCATAACAGCCTTGATTCTTGTATTCAGAATTCTCTCCTACTCACAAAATGAATGCATCAAGAGATTTAATGAAGCTTTCCATGTCGTTTTAATAATTTAAGGCATGACATGCTATTTATTTGGTGCAGAACTGCTTCATTAAGTGATCATGTCACAAAATCCTCCACTCCACAAATATGAAATCTATGTTCTATGTATTTCATAACAGAACAAATATTAATCACAATCATTTTGTCATTAATATGCATCAAGATCACCAACAGTATAACAATAGTGTAAAATAAATTTAAAGCAATGACTACATATTGGTATAAAAGCACTTGTTGATGTTATAATGGAATTAATATGTGTATTTATGCTAAATATAAATTCTGACATGATTGTGCCTGAAAAAAAGAAAGAAGCCAGTTCCTTTAATTTTGTAATGGGCTTGCCTCACAAATAATACTGGCAATTTCTGGACCTAAAGCACATACATAATTACTTTATCATTTTTGTTACTTACATTATTTACCATATACATATAAGCTATACATTGACATAGCAAACATATGTTGCTTTCCTTTGAGAAGTACTGCTGCTTGTCTCAGAGTACTCAGATTTAGAGAATATTGCTCAGTTATCACATCTAGAATACCAAAGACTAGGGCAAATCTAATGAAGTGTTCTGGTCATAGCTTGCATTAAAAGCAAGTGTATTTAAAGCAGGGCTAATTTCATTAATCTTTTGGCCTAATTTCAAAGCCCTTTGCTTGTGAGAAGTTCAAACACCTGGTAAGAAAAGAAAGAAAGAAAGAAAGAAAGGAAGGAAGGAAGGAAGGAAGGAAGGAAGGAAGGAAGGAAGGAAGGAAGGAAGGAAGGAAGGAAGGAAGGAAGGAAGGAAGGAAGGGAAATTGCCTAGTTTGGCTCTGTCTCTCCCCATCTTTCATTTTATCATTGCCTAAATGTCCCTTGTCTACCTCCTCTATTTTACATCCCCCCCCAAAAAAAAAAACCATGTGGTTAACAGGATATCAACCAATCAGTCAAAAACCCTGCCCTTAAAATTTCAACACAAACAGAAATTACAACCCTCTCTAAGCGGTTTGTAGAATCAGCAAATTGCCCCCAAGAGTCTGGGTCCTCATTTTAACAACTTCGGAAGGATGGAAGGCTGAGTCAACCTTGAGCCAGTAAGAATTGAACTGCTGGCAGTTGGCAAAATTAGCCTGCAATACTGCATTCTACCCACTGCACTACCATGGCCAATCCACCTACCTAAACAGAGGCCACATAATGCCATCCCAGAAAAGGACACCATTTTGGAAATGGTTGCAATTCTCACAATCCGAGAATTGTGGCAGCTCCCAAAATGGTATCCACTTCCAGGACAGGACCACACAGCCACCATATTGTACAGGAGGGCCATGGTTCTTTTTCACGAAGATGATCTTGGAGATTTCCTCAGCACATGAAGTGGTAAAAGAGGAAGTAAAAAACATATTCTCGAAAATCACAGGTTGCCTTTGGAAAGGAGAACCAGCTGATCTGCCCCATGGCCTCTGTTTAGGATGACCACATGGTGCTGTCCCAGTGGCCAGAAAGAGATGGACTAAAAGACAGCACTGAGGCATTAATCAAAGTAGCCCAAGAACAGGCATGAAGTACCAGATAAAAACTATGACTAAACACCTAGGTAGGAAGATATGCTTTCTCATTATTAAGAGATTGCACAGAAATATAAACCTTCGTGTACTTTTCTAGAATACTAGATCCCTTCTTCAAATTTATTTCAGCATGGCTATAGAGATGGACAACTGCATTCATAAAAACACAGTATTAACATTAATATTAAGATTCTTATTAAGATTATACATTTTTGTATGACTAGAATTACTTTATTTTTATATTTCCTCCCCCCCCCCAAATAATTCAAGGAAGTATTTTTTCTTAATTTTATCCTGCTGCTTCTCATGAAAACTGATGCCCTTTCCCTTTTGATTCCCTTTAAAATTCACAAATGCTATCACATCAACAGATACCAATCTGTAATGAAATCCACAATCCCACAACCAATTGTTGGTTTAGACTGAGAATCAGTATAGCCAATGGTTAAAGTGCTGGACTAGGAGCAGGTAATCCCAAATTTTAGTTCCCCCTTAGACAGAAAGGTCAGTTGATTGACTTGGGCCTGACTCTGGATTAAATACTCCAACGAAGTTTACAGAATATAAAAAGAAGACTTTATTAAAATGGGTGTCTGTTAAACTTTTATATAAAACTAAGGCCACAGCTAATGCTAAAATAATGTCAAAAAATTTTATGATTTAATTTAAACATTTTATACAAAGCTATTTTACAAATGAGTACTCAAACAAACACGCTTATTCTAAAATTTAATGATATAAAATATTAACCTCTCAATACATATACTTTATATTTCTTTTGGTCCTTTAACAATTTTTCATGGCTCCTGCTGTAGATATTAACTGAAATAAAAACGATGCAGCTTCTGAAAACAATCCTTCCTTTTTGTATCAAGTTCGTTTCTTGAACTATTAAACATCACCAGTCATAATAGCAATAAACTCCTCCTGATTAACTGTTAAAAATAAAAAAAACAATTAGATATGTACCACGTTCTTTTTCAAAAAATTTACACTGAAATTAGCATCTCAAACTTATTTTATTCAGTTAAAACCACTTATCTTAATATTTTTTTCTAAAAAGAACTAAGATCATCTAGTAATTTCAACTGGAAATCCTGAAGTGCATCCTTTTAATAGACGTATTTAATAATGGAGGGAACAATTATTATTAAGAAATTAAAATAACATAGCTATCCTAAGTGCCTCAAATTACTCAGAGACAAGTAACTCATTTCATTTTTTTTAAGTTTTGTTATGCTATATATAGTTACAACGATAGGTAATTATCACATGTAGTTCTCGACTTACCACCATTCATTTAGTGACTGTTCAAAATTACTACAGCACTGAAAAAACTAACTTATGACTGTTTGGTCACATGATCATAATTCAGATGCTTGGCAACTGGCTCATATTTCTGACAGATTTGTGAGTAACCTTCTCACAAGCAAAGTCAGTAGAGAAGCCAGATTCACTTAACAACTATGTTACTAACTTAACAACTGCAGCAATTCATGTAACTGGAGCAAGAAAGGTCATAAAACAGAGAAAAACTCACTTAACGGTCTCGCTTAGCAACATAAATTTTGGGCTCAATTGTGGTCATACAGCAAGGACTACCTGTACATCCAATTGCTTTAGTTTCTATGTTTAGACATATTTTTTATGTGTTAGCATTTGTTTATGCTAATACCATCGCTTTTAAGTTGAGAAGTAAATTGCATGCTTATTTTTTCAATTATTTATACTGTAGCAGAAGTTAATTCTAGTTTATTGATTCATTCTACACAAAAGAAGAAAAAGAATGAACATGCTATCCCCATCAACATATGCCAAGGAAATTCTCATTTTGAATAGGAAGAAACTACTACTGTAGATTGTTTTTCTAAATACACTGGAAGCTTGTAAGATTTGGGGTTTTTTGGATATTGAATTGAATTGAATTATTTCCATAGGTCTCATCATGAAAATATCTCAAAAGACAGAAAACAGAGTGCACTTTTTTTTTTGCTTCTCTGATCCTAAATTAGAATCATGCATACATCTTCAGAACTTACTTTCTCCATCACCATCCTTATCAAATTCTTCAATCATTGCCCGAAGTTCTTCATCAGTCATGTTTTCCCCAAGTTCTCTAGCTACACGACGCAGATTTCTTAAGCTTATTTTACCTGAATCATCATCATCAAACAATTTAAATGCCTTGAGTATCTCCTCATGTGGATCTCTTTCAAGTATCCAGTCTGTAACTAAAATGGAAAAATAAAACGTATCTTTTACAAAGACATTTTTACTGCAGGAACTGTATTCTCCACAAAAATAATTTTACTTTTGTTTCAGACATCAACTTTGTGATTCAATTTAAAAGATGCACTTTTACCATCAACAAAAATGTCAATCTGTATTTGCATGCACATTGGTTTATTCTCTAGTAAAAGCAGTAAAATAAATCTATGGTTCTTATTATCATCTATACAGACATGGTGAGAAGTTATATAAAGAACAAATATAAAATATTATAAGACATGATTAAAGTTATTTTTCCCATAAGTTAAGAAAAATAATAGAAAATATAGCTTGCATTATGAAATCCTAATGGTTTCTTGTTTTCTCCTGCCTCTCTCCTAATGCATTAAAAAAACCTCTGTCAATAGCCTAATGTTTACATATCTATTAAAATACATATAAATTAAACTTTTATTAGCAATTACTATTTTCTTATCAGTAACTTGTTTAAATTCCAATACCTACCAACTTCATTAAAGTCATCAAAAGAGATTTTGCCACTTCCTTCCCGATCATAATCTTTAAGTATCTTTAATACATCTGCCTTTTTTACATCAAAACCTAAGGCTCTCATTGCCACCTTCAGGGGAAATACAAAAATACAACATTTCAATTTGGAACATAAAAATAACGTTTCTTTATCAATTAAATTTAAGTAAGAGGTAATAGGAAAATTTGGGAGCACACTGTTAATTCATTATTTTCCAGGGACACAACTATTTATGCTCTAAGTGAAAATCCTTTCACCTTGCTAGCAATAACAAATTAAATGTGACATTATACATTTAACTAATTAAATACATTTTTCAAAACTGTCACTTTATTTGATTCAGTAATTGATCAGTTTCAGGAGACTAGCAGGACAGCAAATGTTCTACCCTGAGAAATCTAGCACTGCTGAATTTAGGGACAGGAGAAACCAGCTAAATAGCCTTTTTTCCTTCATTTCCTCTTATCTGGAGTCAATGAGGGAGGGGAGGCAACCATGATAGTATTTCCTTCTAACAGGACATCATACATTACTGTAGGAGTTTCTGCAACAATTAAGTAAAACCTATTCAGTATCTTAATTAGTTCTCATTTAGATTACTACAATATTATTTACAGCACTCCCTCCCAACCTTAATAGTTCCCAGATGTGTAGTCCTCAATTCCCTAAATTTTAAGTAATAAAGTGGTTAGAAATGCAAGATTGTAATTATTCTTCTGAAAAAAGTTTGATGAAATTAACTAAAATAAATGTCGTCCAATATGAATCTATTCACAATCTTAAACTATAGCCTGATCACTTACATAGGAATAAAGCATGCTAAAGTTAGAGAATCATATTTAGTAGCAAATTTAAGTTTATATTTCATATATATTTCAATCTCAATTTAATTTGTCAGAAAGATGACAATACAAGTAGGGTAAGTCAAGATAATTTCTTCCTAGTGTTTCCTTCACTTTTAACATTTTTGACCAAGTAGTATGGAGTTGAAATAAATATGGGTATGCTCTAGACCTGCTCCTCCCCCTCTCCCCTAGACCTTTACTGAACTGGGACTTAGTGGGATTGACATCTATAAGATGTACTAAGGCTTTAGAACTTTATTGCAAATACTGTTCTTGGCCATGCTTTCGTCTCTATACCACAAAAGCTCTCCTGTTTGTAACCTTTAACTGGGTGACAGGGCAAAGCATTTTGAACCAAAGTATCTCTGGTGGATCAACTTACAGAATTCGTCCAGGATCCAGAACTCTCATGGAAATGAAATTTGGCAAATGTTATAAAACATTTTATGATATAAAAATTATCATAAAGCATTTTATGACATAATACAAATATGATAAAACATTTCTTGTTTTCAACTCTTGATGTTTGACAATGTTATACAGTTCAACATGGAGTACTTTCAAGGCAGATACATCTCTAAATCTCTCCCTGAATTTTTAAGAATTTTTCAAGTACATTAGAAGATCTGACATACCATGTTTCCTTAAAAGTAACATCTACTCTGAAAATAAGCCCTAGCTTGATTTTTGAGGTGGGCTTAATATAAGCCCTACCCCAAAAATAAGCCTAAAAATCAAGCTAGGGTGGGGGTGGGGAGCTTACCATTGCGGCCAAGCCTCCCATGGATCGACACTTGCCTTGCCGGAAGGAGGAGCTTCATTCTGCAGTTGAGAATGGAGCTCAGCCTGCATTTCGCAGTCAGAGGCCTTTCTGGAAGGCTTGTATAGCCGAGAACCGAGCTATGGATTGAATCCATAGCTTGGTTCTTGGCTGCAGATGCCTTTGGCCACAGAAATGGGCTGACTGGATGGAGCTGTTGGTGCCATCGTTGTGAGATGAATGGAAAAGACAAACACATACCAAAAATTAAGATCTGGTGCCTCTTTTGAAGGAAAAATAAATAAATAAGACCGGGTTTTATTTTTGGGGAAACATGGTAGCTAAAGACACTGAGGAAATACCTCTGAAATGATGACCCAAGGAATCACAAGTCTAATATGTTATAATATTCTAACAGCTTGACTTGCATTCTTACCATTCCTAAATTAACATGCAATTAACTATATATTACAGAAGTCAAGTGCAATATTGCATATTTGACTACTAAGACCAGTAATCTAAAATATTTCAAAACAAATTATTAAACTATTAAGAGAAAGTGGATTGCCTTTAGCTCATGATAATCTATAGCATTATCTTTATCAGTGTCGAACAATTCAAAAGCATCTTTAATTTCTTGCTTCTGTTCTTCAGTTAATTCTCTTCTTTTTTTTCTCTTGGTTTTTTCAACAGAAAATTCAGCTCTAAAAAAAAGAAAGAAAAATGTATAGCCATTATAAAAAAAAATCATGTCTTAATCCTCAAAAAGGAAACAGTAGATGGATATTATGGGTTTTTGATAAATAAGCAAATGTCACTTCCCATGAGATCTGATTTTATATAATATCTAGCCATGAAATTTATATTTATAGTATAAATATCCTTCACCTGGATTAAAAATTATTATACTCCAAACTCTGAACTCCAAATTCTTTACTTTTCTGATTCACATTTCTTTTGTATCTTTTGCATATATTATTTGCCTCCCAATCCTCTCACTTGCCCTGCTATGTATCAGCAATGCCAACTGCATTATTGTAATAAGATTAATGAGAAGTTACCTATGATTATGCTAGTGAGTGTTTCTTACTTTTGCTTTAATAACTATAAATGTTCCTTTTGTGTCAACAATCAGTACTAAAAATATTTTTGCTATATTTGTGGATAATCTGCTCCTTCTGATTAGATCTATAACTTCCTATCTCTAATTCATCCCATTCCCAAAATCTATTTCTAATTGGTTCACTTGCTGCATATTGGTTGTTTATTTAAGATTTTCTCACTGACACTTTTCAAAAACTTTTTAAATTTGTAAATTATAACTACCAGCAGTTGAGGTGTTTTAATGTAAATTACTATTTTAAATCTATCGATAGTGTAAAAGAAAAAAATGTGGAAAAAATCATTCCTCTGACTTCTGGTAAACAAACAAACACATGCACAATGTTCTTAACAAAAGCATGGAAACGCTTCACAGTGCCTTCTTAAGGTATTTGCTTTCCATTTTCCTTTCTGATCTACAGTTTTGGTATTTCCCCTTCTCCGTATTAACCAAGTCCGCTTGGATTCTCTTTCGAGATTAGTCAAGGAGGCTTGGTGCTGCACCTGAATCAACTCAGAATACAGGCAGAAATCATTACCCCTGGAACCGGGGTGGGCTGTGGAGAAAATGTGTAGAAAAACCTCAGCACAATAAACACGTGTGACAGCGGACTGCTCAGCTTGTTCACGAAACCATCGCGCGCTACGGCAGATATCGCGACAAGCGTCGCGCGAGGGGAGAACGTTACGTTACCATAGCAACAAGAAGCGAATCGTTACTTGTACTCTCCCCTCCTCCCGAACGTTCGTACCCACCTCGTTATCAAATTCATTCTCCCGGTCCCACCCCTTGAACCGACACCAGGCGGGGGAAAGAGACGTATATCTTGTATTATGGTTAACTAAACCCGAAATTCAGACTCGACAACAGCCTTATCTCAAAGCGGGACGTAAACCCAAGTCTCTCCGCCAACAATGCCGCTTCCCTCTTCAGATTTCAGCTACAATTGGACGTTACAACGTCTCTTTGTATGTAGCCCAAAGCAATTGGCGAAGCCTCCCGTCAATCAAGCTTCAGGCCTCCCTCCTTGCCTACTGTTAGGTTCGAAAAGCGCCAGAAACTACCCAGAAAACACTGCGACTTTAACGTCAGAGTGAGGGTAAGCTAGGAAGACAAGGAGTATGACGTAGAGGCCACGCCTCTCCGAGTTTCAATGGTTCAGTTCGAGGAGTCGTTTCCGTACGGATTCTCATTGAGTAAAATGCTTGATTTAGTTTGTTAGCATCTCCTTCCGCCTTGAACAGGACAATGGCTTTTGGGGAGGCAGATCTATACTATTATGTAATAATTAACTTGATGTGTAGCAATTAAAAAAAAAACATGCCTGTTTTTGGTATACTGTATATGCTATGGTTCCGGCGGGCGACATGGGATTATACTTAATTATACAGCGAGAGGGTCTAACATAAGTAAGTCTTGAAAATATTTGGAACTCTGAAAGTCAGTAGAAAATAAAGTGAAGTGGACAATGAAACTGATATGACTGGGCTCAATGTAAATTACAAATTAGGTGACTTGCACCAGGGATTGAATTTAAAAAAAAAATCGGACCAAGTTGTGCTAAACACACGCACCCTTCTATTATGTAACTATAAAAGTTTTATCTTGCCTTTTGTTTTACAAGACCATGTTCCAAACTTTCCCTTTGTGCAGAAGATTATTATCATTAAGAAGTTTTAAGAAGGATCGACGGTGAGGCATCAGGAATTACATGATACATTTTATGCAAACCTTGCAAATCAGTGTTAAGTTTACAGGATTTGATACCAAGTAAAATACCATTTGGCAGTTGCTACTATTTTATGTTCACTTTTTTTCTTTTGAGCTTTTTTCTTTTTTTGATCTTTTTTGTGTTTATCTGTTAACTTTGTACTTTTTTTGAAAATTAATAAAATTATATCAAGCAACTATTTTCTATCTTCCTGTATGCATTCAGGCATGCAGAGAAAAAAAAATAGCTGTTGATCTACTGGGAAAAAATCTTTTATTATCACCAATTAAAATAATCAAAAGTATGCAGGGATTTGTACGTCCTAATCAACTACATTAGGAAGAATAATACAAGGAAGGAACAAATTGTAAAACCTGCTTTGAGGGTCAAGAGGTTTATACATTTTTTTTGACTGACTGAGAATAAATGTATGAATCCTCTTCGATCCTGATTTCTAAACTAGTAGTCCTATAAAAGTTTTGGAAGCAGATAAAACTCTTTTTATGGGATTTTTTTTTTTTTTGCATGATTGTTGTTCAAGCAAACTTATTTGTATACCAAGTATAGGACTAAACCTCACATCCTTTTTCCTGGAGCACAGATTAAGGATTTTTGGGGGGTTATGCCAATATGTTGCTGTCACATCCCCAGCTCACTACTCAGGCAGCCCATAGTTGCTCTTCCACTTTGGAAGTGTCATTTTCTTTCTCCCAAGCAAAAATGTGTCATAATGGATGATCTAAAATGCCCTGGCACTGAGTTTGAGGATGCATAGGTATGAATAGTCATTGAACGGACAAGTCTGGTAGACATCATCTTCATATGGTAGCTGAGCATTGGGCATCCATGATCATTTGACTTTGGTTATGAGGAATGAGATACCTGATTATTTTATCTTGTTAATCTCCCAGGAGTTTGATTACAATACAAACTAGGACTGTATTGTATACAGTATAAAAATATTAAAGGGGGAAATGTTGGAGACACACATACACACACATTTAAATAGAAAGAGGGAAGAAGGAAGAAGTTCTTTCCTGGCAAAAAACAATACTAACTTCAGGAAGAAAGGAAGAAACATCCAGAAGCACAATGGCATTAAGCATTTTGGTTCAGGGTTCTCTATTCTGTATTGCAAATCAGTTAATGAAATTGCTCAGGCAGATTAGGGGAAGGAGTTATTTGATAGGGTTATTTATCTCTTACACTCTGTAAGACTTATTGTGCTCTCATGTTCCTGCAGTAATCTGGATGACTTCTAGGTGGCAGTATACTCAATATGGAAAATTGTCTTGTTAGAAATAGTCTGCAGCACATAATACAAAATAGAAGCTACATAAATCATAAAAATAAAGGTTTGATCTCCCAATCCCACTCCACCAAAAGCCACCAAATCACTGCCCTGAAACTGCCTTTAATTAAATTCTGTGAGGATAGTAAAAGTTCACAGCATTATCGCTAGCTGTGATAATGTAAACTGGGGGCAATAGTTTATGTCAATATGTTTTCCTCCGATTTAAAGGCAGAACAGAAGATTTAACATAGGCCCCAAGAGCCCATAATATGTTTGTTAACCAGGGGTTTTATTTTTAATGATAAAGAACCAATAAAAATGTATGTGACACATACATGCACACACATTGCACATATTGCTGAGTATGAGTTATTTGGGCCACTTTACATATAACAGATTAAGGATTTTTTTTTTGGTTATGCCAATATGTTGCTGTCACATCCCCAGCCCACTACTCAGGCAGCCCATAGTTGCTCTTCCATTTTGGAAGTGTCATTTTCTTTCTCCCAAGCAAAAATGTGTCATAATGGATGATCTAAAATGCCCTGGCACTGAGTTTGAGGATGCATAGGTATGAATAGTCATTGAACGGACAAGTCTGGTAGACATCATCTTCATATGGTAGCTGTAGTTGCCCTTTTAGATATTTAGCTCCTGCTATCAGCAATGCTATGTGTTTTGTTGTTCAAGAGATTTGACTGAATCCAGTGAAATTTTCTTATACTATTATTCCAAACATTCAATGCTGTCTAGAATTGTAGATGTTAAAGCTTGCTGTAAAATGCTGTGACTGAGAGCTATATTAATTGAAGCATGGTTGATCCATATAATTTCCCATATCCACACCTTATATGATATATAATAATAATAGTAAAGTTGGAAGAGACCTTGGAGGTCATCTAGTCCAACCCCCTGCTCGGGCAGGAAACCCTACACCATTTCGGACAAATGACTGTCCAGTCTCTTCTTAAAAACTTCCAGTGTTGGAGCATTTACTGCTTCTGGAGGCAAGCTGTTCCACTGATTAATTGTTCTCACTGTCAGGAAGGTTTCTCCTTAGTTCTAGGTTGCTTCTCTCCTTGATGAGTTTCCACCCATTGCTTCTTGTCCTGCCTTCAGGTGCTTTGGAAAATAGCTTGATTCCCTCTTCTTTCTGGCAGCCCCTGAGATATTGGAATACTGCTATCATGTCCCCCCTTGTCCTTCTCTTCGTTAAACTAGACATACCCAATTCTAGCAACCATTCCTTATATGTTTTAGCCTCCAGTCCCCTAATCATCTTTGTTGCTCTTCTCTGTACTCTTTCTAGAGTCTCAACATCTTTTTTACATCGTGGTGACCAAAACTGGATGCAGTATTCCAAGTGTGGCCTTACCAAGGCATTAAAGAGTGGTATTAATACTTCTCAAATATCTCTCAAATGTCTTTAAAGCAACCATTAGAAAGCAACTGAAATATACCTATAGTTTAAAAATGAAAGTAATTCATCAGAAAAAGTTATTTCATATTTATAAGTTTCCTAAAATAATGTTTAAAATTGATAGTTATTAGAGTTAAAAATAGTTTTGTAATCAATTTTTAAAAATTTTAACACTATTTCGTGTTCAGTCATAGCCTTGTTTTGGTTTCATTTCACTAGATTTGTAAATACAATTTTAGAAAACCATAGTTAACATGATGCTGAACTAAATTCCTAAAAAATGGAATTTTGTTATCTTTGAAGAGTTTTGGCTCTGTTGAGGTTGGGGCACAACCAAGAGGATAATTTTACAGAATTGGAAAGAAGCTTATTCTCTTAAGTTTTTTAAAAAAATGCATTCCAGGCAGTGGTAGGATTCAAATATGTGAACAACTGGTTCTCTGTGTGGATGCCACTTTTGGAAGTCTATTCTGGGCCTCGGCAACAAAAAATTAGCTACTGGTTCTGCTGAAATGGTGCAAACCGGCTGAATCCCACCACTGATTCACGATATGAATATATTATTTATTTTTGTAATGTCTCTGTAGTTTTAAAAGGATAAATGAAAATGGGAAAAACATTTAAATTTCAACAGCAATTTGACAAATGTTAATCTTTTATTTTGCCACACTTGAAGACATTGCAGCCTATCTTACTTGCGTATATACAACTGCACCAGCAGATGGCATCATAAAATAAATTGTTCAGCACACATTGAACAGACTGGAATTCTGAAATCTCATATATCATATATATATATATATATGTCCTTAATGGTTGTAAAAATACGAATCCCGGGCATATTTGTTCAATGATGCAATCCTCGATCTCCGGGAAGAGTATAATCTAGTTATTTATTGTTAAAACAATATTTAAAACAATAAAAACAGTTATATACAAGGTTAAAACAACTTAGCTTTCGCTGTCCTCTGCCAGTGTCCTCAGAGTGGGGCTTAAGGGGTGGGGAAGTTCTTTTTATCCCCCTGCTGATCTAACTGCCTGCTCATTGCCCGCATGACGGGGCCACTCTTCCTGATTACCTGTAACTGCCCTAACTAAACTGCCAGTTAGTTATGAAAACTTAGTTATGAAAACATTTTAATAACAGAATAATCAGAGAAGCCATCGAGATAGAAAAACGCCCACACAGCATGAACAAACGAGATGAAACCTCCCGCCTACTGGCCATTTGGAAACCCGCCCTTATTGACAAACAACTCCCTAACACAAAGAATGACACCAGACCCACACTCACTAAAACCACAGAGGATGTCACCACCATACATCCACGCAAAAAGCAAACCCAAAGCCATACCAATGATGAGGCACGACCACAAACCAGAAGCCAGACCACAGCTGCATCATTAGCCACTTTAAACCCCTCCAATCCATACATGAAGCAAACTGACACCCACCATGAAGATGAAGCACGACCATGAAAGTGAAGCCAAAAAATAGCAAGGCAACCCACCATCTTAAACCTCCCTGCAACTCAGACTAACCTCAGCACAACAAAGCCCCCACCCAAACAGAACACTACCCCATCCAATCAGAGA